CAGGAGAGTGCCATGATCAGAAAGTGGAAAAAAAATATTTAAAGTCATGATAGCTCACAGGGAAATATTAAATTTCATAAAACAACATCAATAATCAGAAATTATAGAGACTTTGGAGATTACTGGTTTCAAAGTTAGTAGAGAAATGCTAGATTTAGATAAGACATTGAGACAGAAGGAATTTTTTAAAAGTGCTATATTGGAGTTAAACATTATAAGCCATTTGAAGGACAAATGTAAGAAGAAAACTTCAAAAGATCTTTGAGTCCTGTATCAAAGAATAATTTCAAAATTATATTTGATACCACAAATATGGTCAATTTACAGACCTTATAGAGAGATGCTAGAAATAATTATGCTTATTTAGTTGTGTTACTATTGAAAGTTCCATGGGAAGAGTTTCCAAAACAGAATAGCATCTTAGCCATCCTCAGGTTGAATATACACAGTTAAGATTATACTATTATAAACATTTCACAAAATTTATGAAGTTACTGGAGATTTGTTAAGATCTTAGCTGTCCATGATCCAGTTTTACCCTCAGAGAAAATACTGACCAAGACTCAAGAAACAGTTCTCATTATGAACTTTCATCAGACCTTTTTTTTTTTTTTTGGTGCGGTACGCGGGCCTCTCACTGTTGTGGCCTCTCCTGCTGCGGAGCACAGGCTCCGGACGCGCAGGCTCAGCGGCCATGGCTCACGGGCCCAGCCGCTCTGCGGCATGTGGGATCTTCCCGGACCAGGGCACGAACCCGTGTCCCCTTCATCAGCAGGCAGACTCTCAACCACTGTGCCACCAGGGAAGCCCCATCAGACCTTTTTTAATCTGAAAGTTATCAATATTAAATTAACTAGGGCCATTAATTCTCTGTCATCTGCAGATAGTTTTATTTTACTCTGATGCTCTGTTGCATGCTACGGGCTAGAATTGTCTTCAACAAAGGACAGTCTCAGGAAAAGGACTCTATCAGGTACCTCAAATTACTGACACTCTCAACTCTTCCCTATAGGCTTCTGAGCTGATATTGCTTACACAACTTCCAGACTAAAGCAGTAAGATAAGTCAGGATTACTAGAACTCTCGGATGCAGTGGGCTTCAAGAATTAATGACAGGACTAACAGCATGAAATCAGAGGTCTCCTTTGATTTTATTTCTCTAACAGGAAAGTTGTTTTAGTTTCCACATATATAAGGAAGCTCTTTCATTTTCTTTTTAATCTATCTATATACACTGCAACAATTTAATAAACCCTGCTTTTGTAAATGAAATAAAACATTAAAAAATCTCTCACTTTACATGGTGACATAGTTGTTTACCTAAGTTCATTGACTCCACCTTTTCATCAAGATATAATTGAATAAACTGTGCAACTAAGGCCTTACTGGAAAAGCCATACTCATGAATGATGTTCATTGTGTGAAAGAGGACTAGCTGCCTTTTAGGAACTGAGGCAGGTTTTACTTATGAATACAATGCCTGCAAAGTCCACCCAGGAAGCCCACTCTGGTGCCTGAAAGACAAAGTGCCGTCTCACAGGTCATAAGGGCCACTTCCTGACAGGTTGGGAATATTAACAAATTTTGGTGATCCTGAGAGGAGAGGGATGCACTGAAAGGTACAGGTTGTATGGGTGAAATCTGGTGTATGGTTTATTGGGTCTGGCTTCCTAATCTCAAGTTAGCAAACAATAGAGGCTTTTAAAAGTCCAATCTGAGATTTTTTTTTTTTTTTTTTTTGCTGTACACGGGCCTCTCACTGTTGTGGCCTCTCCCATTGCGGAGCACAGGCTCCGGATGCGCAGGCTCAGCGGCCATGGCTCACAGGCCTAGCCGCTGCGCGATCTTCCCGGACCGGGGAACAAACCCGTGTCCCCTGTATCGGCAGGCGGACTCTCAACCACTGCACCATCAGGGAAGCGCCAATCTGAGATTTTTTAATAAAAATTTCCAGATAGAAATGAATTACTCTGAAGCTCTACAGCTTTTATTGTAGAAAAATGTCAGTCTCCCATATGCATTTTCCAGTCTTTCTAGCTCTCTCTAACCTAAAAACTAGTGAAATTTCCTAAAACTCAAATGGTCATGGTTGAACAAATAGAACTGAAAATGGTATTAGTTGATTTTTATGTTTTATCATTCAAGATCCTTCAGACAACAATGACCTTTGAATATTCATATTTTCCTATTTTTTAAGATAAATACATTTTTTTGTCCATCACAGTATCTTGGGCATTGGCTTCCACATTTATAATACAAGTATACTGGTATACAATTACCTCAAAGAAGACCAATAATATTAGCTCAATATGCTATGACATGACAATTATATCCTTCTTATGTTCAATGTATTACAAACACTATAATAATAAACTCAATGATTAAATTCAGAATAATAATTCTGTTTAAAAAAAGTTCACCCCACTTATTGACAACAATATTAAATAAAATACCAGCCATTAGATTACTTTTGCATCATGTATTAGTATAACAATAATCTTAAAGCAATTTAATTTTTACAGTTTACACATGACAGTGCTTTAAAGAAATAAAGTTATAATTTTCTATTTTAAACCTGAACAACCAAACCAAAATATTCTGCATAACTTATGTCATATATAATATTAGTTAACATTTTAAACACAGATTGGATATATGTTCAGCTCATACTTACCCATGAAATTGAGATAGCCTTCTCCGCCGAGTGCATGAGTAATGAGTCGAATCATTTTATGAAGCTGTATTCCACGATCAATAACTGGAGTAAACGGGGTTAGAACACTCATGTTGGTATACATTTCAGCATCCATCAACCAAAATGCCAGCGTCTTATCCCCAACGAGTGCCTATAAAAATAAAAGTCACTGAGATAAATGCAAATAATAGGTACTAAGCAGCTGTGATTTATACTAGAATAACATGTAATTATACAGAATGGAAACAATGCAGAAGAGGTGTGTGAATTAATATTAATTTCATGTATTTTCCAACAGTCACTATGCTGAAGGTGAGCTGGTGAAATACATGAGCGATCTCATGTACCTATGTTTCTTTCATTTTTAAAATAGCTTGGTGAAAAACTCATGATAAGCTACCTGAATATTTGTTATAATAAGCTGATGCTTCACACTTTTTGAAGTTAGAATAAACATGTATTTTAATGTTGAGAATACTAACAGATATTTTTTTCTTTTTTTTAGGATTTGAACAGTGAATTTTTTAATTGAATTAATTCTTTAAATTCTATAGTGCTTTACAATTTTCAAAAGTTTCACATACATGATTTCATATAATCCCATAATCTTACATTAAACTATTAGAATACTAATAGATTTTTAAAAATATCTTGCATATCATGATTTTATTGTTTTGAAAGAATGGAAGAGTTTCCTAAAAGTAATTTATATGTATATGCATTTATATTTATATAGATGTATTTATATATATAAAATATGTATATAAATATATTACAATGGACCCTCTCTCCTTCAGCAGCAAATTGACAACTTTTTCTTAAAATGTAAAATTTGCTTTCTCATTATATTTGCCATCTAATCTAAAATTAGTTTGTTTTATATGAAAATATAATAGTTGACAAATGGGGCAGGTTAACTCAGAAACACCCTGAGCAGCAGAAGAGGCCTCTTAATGATCTGAATTATTTATGGTTAAAAACAGCTAACTAATGCCAAGTGTTATTTATTGACAAAAAATTATATATAGTGAAACATAGAGACTAAACCATAATCTCTTCACCCTATTACTGTATGATTATTTTCATTTTTAGAAAGATATTCTTACTTATAAACCTATTTTAATCTCTAAGCTATTTTCACATATATATTCATATTTATAATTTTTTATCAGGTTTAAAATTCAGTATACATTTGCTTTTATAGAAAGAACTAGGCAATTTGTATCTTTTTGTACATTCCCAACAATTTGTAATACAAGGCAGAATTATGTGGATCTTTAAAGTATGAAATAATTCTTGGTAAATCCATACTGTTTCTGTACATTTGGGGAGAAAAATTATGAAATTAACCTACCAGTTTCATCTTCAATTTGTTTATTCCACTCATTTATTTATTCTTTTATTCATTCATATAAAATACACATATATTGGGAGCTCTAAACATGCTATAACTGCTAGGAGATTGTAATAGAAAGATTATCATTTATGCATGCATTTTAATTTTCATATTGTTATGTATTTGGCAAGGGATTCCCCCATTCTTAAATTAATACTACTCATTTCTTATTTTGTTATGTTTTGGTTCTGGTTTCTTCATAGGTATTTATTTGATCTTGCTCCACAGCCAATTTAAGTTGAAAAGAAAGTACTGCTCCAACTAGGAAGATGCAAAACTTAATATATGTCTACTTTATGAGTGAGCAAACTTTCTGTACAGGCCAAACAGTACATAGTGTAGGCATTGTGGGCTCCTTCCTCAGTCTCAACTACTTAAATATACCATTATGGCTCAAAAGCAGCCATAGACAATAGGTGAGTGAATGAACACAGCTGTGTTCCAATTACCTTTACAAAAACAAGCAGCAGACAGAATCTGGCCCATGGGCCTTGGTAGCTGACCCCTGGTCTACTTATACTTTCTTAACAGTTCAAAGGAGACACCTGAAAAGCTAGTGTCTACCTTAAATTGTCAATTTCTGCTGAAATACCGAGGAGCTTATTGGTTTAACTTTAATTTTCTGAATACATATACTGCAAATAATTTCAGACAGCTTTACTGACTTTTTAATGTGTAAGGAGTTCATTTTATGTTGTTTATGCTGGTTCATAGGCTTTATATAACTGAATGGCCTTTTCCTGCATTTATTTATGTTTATTGAGTGACTACGAGGAATAGCACAGTGCTAAGGCTGGAAATACAAAGGTATCAGAAGCAAATTTTCTGCTTAAAATGTGATGAGAAAGTGAAGAATGGGGAAACTATTTTTTCCCTATACGCCTGGATGAAGGCTTCAAGGAGAGTATGTCTGAGCCAGGGCATTAGGTCTTCACATGAGCTTCCCAGGTGAAGTAGGCATTTGCAGGTGTGTGGGGAAAAGTACAAGATTGGAGCAAGGTTGACCTACTTAGGAATGGGTGGAAATTTAACAGTATTGAAGAATAGAACTCTTGGAGGGTTGAGCAGAGAATAAACTTTGGCATGAGCCAGGATATGACAGGCTGTGAATGAGAAGCTTTAACCAAAAGATCTGGGCTGACAAAATTAGCTTTGCCCTTTGGAAAATACCTCAGACTACATTACAGAGGATGGACTAAAATCAAGAGGGACAGAGGTCAGGGCGATCAATCAGCAAAAGATTTCAGTGACTGAGGGAAAAAATGATGAAAGCTTGTGAAAAGGCATAAAAGAAAACCTTTAGAAGGAAACCTAAAATGGAAATTAAAATTAACCTGGATTAGCACCAACATTACTCTTGTGACAACAAAGGAAAACATGTAAGATAATACTTGAAACTGTCATTCACAATCATTTAATTACAGTTTGTCAGGGTAAAAGTGGTACTGCATTTTGAAGCTGGAATTTATGGATCTACAAAATAATTTTTAAATGTTTTTCAAGTATGAATAGTTGTCACACAAAATAGACAGATAACACATTACATTAACTGTATTAAACTATAGAAATTTGTACTGTGATATGTTTATAATTAGGTATGTTAATAAATACAGAGACAGAATGGTTTATACACATATTAATTTACCTGATCATGGCTCTCTGCATAAGCAATGCACTTTTCAAGGTAGCGTCTGTTTGTGAGTGTATACACTATATTGCCCATATTCCAATCTTCATCTTTATATTCTTTAAGTAACTAAATAAAAGACAAAAAATAATTCCAGTACACCATTATCATCCTTACTTTAAATCCCAGTCTGAGGGTATACATCATATCAATCCAAATTATTTGAGATGCAGATATAAGCAGACCCACACAGCAAAAATATCTTTGTCAAAACTTTTACTGAAATCACAGCTTTTATACAGACTATCCAAATGACAGTGGTGTTGCATGTGTGTGTGCATGTGTTTGTTTTTCTGCAGATGATTTGATCACTGCATTTTAGGATTTTTGTAACCTTTTTCCTCTGTAATAGCTGCTACCTCTTGATTAATGACCACAGTGAAGTGTTGTGCAGTATGTTTTTCTGGAACTTCCACAAGGTGGAGATATACTTGCTAGGTTTTTAGGTTTGAATGAAAAAAAAAAATTAGCAAGAATAATGTCTTGTTCCATTCTTAAAAAAAATTTTAAACAACTGTTATTTCAAAGTATAAAGCCTAATTATCATGAAATAATTATCATCTTAACAGACCACACATTTTTGTTTCCACTTCAGCTGCTACTCAGTCTCCAGTGTGGCTTCTGTGCCACTAACACCTCTTCAGTGCAAATGACCTTGCCAAAATCTCAGACTACGATTGTATCCTGGGTCAGTAATTGCTCTTTCTTAGGCAAACGTTTGCAGTACATGATGATAATGCTGACCCTACCCCTTCCGTGAAATGCTTTCCTTCTTAGTCTACCATTGCAAAACTCTTGATTGTCTTGTTTTGTTTTGCAACCACTCTAGACATCCTGTAAAATCCCTTCCTCTGCCTATCCTATAAAAGCTGGTGCTTCTCAGAGTTAATAGCGTAAAAAATAGCCTGTCCTTTTACTCAACGCATTCTTTCTAAGTGGGTTCATTTCTCTTGTCCAAAAGTGTCAATGGCACGCTGATAGAAGCAGAATTCTAAAATGGCCCCTATGATTCAGGCTCCCTCAGATTCACATCTTTGTATAATGTGGGAGGGTCCTTTGAATACAATGGGTGTCCTTAGAAGAAGCTGTGAGATAATAACAGTAATGTTTTAAGTTGCTAAATTTGTGGTAGTTTGTTACACAACAATAGAAAATTAATGAAGATTTTGGTACAAGAAATGGGGTTCCAGCCTGCTTGTATCTTCCTTTGCATGTTTTTTTTTTTTGGCTCAGTGGAATTCAGAGGTGCTTAGCCATCCTGCATAATTGCACTGTGAATCACTGAGCACCAGAGGACAGGCTGTATTAGGCAGACTAATGGCCATCCAAAGGTGTTTACATCCTAATACCCAGAGTCTGTGAATGTCACCTTACATGGCAAAAAGGACTTTAGAGATATGTTGAAGTTAAGGACATTGAAATGGGTAGATTATCCTGGATTATCTGGATGGACCAAATGTAATTGCAGGCATCTTTCTTAAAAGGTGCCTGGATTGTCAGAGTAAGAGAGATTTGAAGATGTTACCCTGCTGGCTTTGAGGATGGGGGAAGGGACCATGGACCAAGGAATACAGGAATACAGGTCCATGCTTTTAGAAGCTAGAAAAGTCAAGGAAACAGAGCCTCCAGAAGGAATGCATCCTTACTAATGCCTTGATTTTAGCTTAGTAAGACCCATTTCAGATTTGTGACTATATGACAGTAAATTTGTGTTATTTTAAGACACTAAGTTTGTGGTACTTAGATACAGCAACAATTTGAAACTAATGTATAGACCTATACAAATATGCTCAATTAAGTTAGACTACTGTGTAAAAACAATTCAATGGAAGTAGGTTCAATGGACTTTTCAAAATCATGCTGAATGAGTTAGACATCTATAGGCAAAAGAAAAATAGAAAAAAACCCTTACACGTTGACTGAACAAAAACTAAATCAAATGGACTATGGGTTTAAATATAAAAGTAAAATTATAAAATGTTTAATAGAAAACATCGGCGAGTCAAAGAAGTCTTAGGCTTGTCACCAAAAGAGATCTCTAAAAGGAAAAAAAGAAAAAGATAAATTGGCCTTCATCAAATTTAAAGGAAACAAAGAACTTTTCGTTCTGTGCAAGTCCACATGAAGAGGATGAAAAGACAAGCAAAGACTGGGATAAAATATTTGTCGATCACATACCCCCTCACAAAAGAGTTGAATCTAGACTAAATAAAGAACTCTCAAAACTCCACAGTAAATAAATGATCCAATTAGAAAATGGTCAAAAGACATGAACAGACATTTTACCAAAGAGGATATACAGAAGGCAAATTAGCACACGAAAAGATGTTCATCATCATCAGCCATTAAGGAAAGACAAATTAAACCCATAGTGAGGTACTTCTGCACACCTGTTAGAATGACTAAAATAAAAAATAGTACAACAGCAAATGCTATTGTTCGATGATGTACAGAAATTGGATCTCACCAAAGTGGCTGGTGGAAATGTAAAATAGTACAGCTACTCAGAAAAATACTTTGGCAGTTTTTTAACAAATTAACATCCAACCACTATAAGACCCAGTAATTGTACTTTGGGGCATTTATCCTAGAATAATGAAAATGTATGGTCATACAAAAATATGTACACAAATGTTTATAACAGCTTTCTTTACAAGAGCCAAAACCTAGAAAGAGTCTAGATGTCTTTTAATGGACGAATAATTAAACTGTGATACATCCATGCCATGGAATACCATTCAACAATGAAAAGGAATACACTGAAATAGAGTCACAGATATAGAAAACAAACTTCAAGTTACCAGGGGATAAGCGAGGGAGGGAGGGATAAATTGGGAAATTGGGATTGACATATACACACTACTATATATAAAATAGATAACTAATGAGAACCTACTGTATAGCACATGGTACTCTACTCAGTACTCTGTAATGGCCTATATGGGAAACGAATCTAAGAAAAGAGTGGATATATGTATATGTATAACTGATTAACTTTGCTGTACACCTGAAACTAACACAACATTGTAAATCAACTATACTCCAATAAAAATTTATTTTTTGAAGTTGAAAAGGAATAGACTACTGATACATGCAAGAACCTGGATGAAATCCCCAGAGAATTCGATTGAGTGAAAAATGGCAATTCCAAAAGGTTACATACTGTATAATTCCATTTATATAACATTCTTGAAATGAAAAAATTATAGAAATGGAGATCAGATTAGTGGTGATCAAAAGTTAAGGAGTGACTGTGGGAAGAGGGAAGTGGGTGTGGTTATAAAGGCAACATTTGGGAAACTTGTGGTAGTGGAAGTGTTCTATATCTTGACTATGTCCATATCACTATCCTGGTTGTGATATTGTACTATAGCTTTGCAAGATGTTACCATTGGGGAATACTGTTTAAGAATTCACCAGATCTCACTGTATTATTTCTTACAAGTGCATGGAAATCTACAATTATCTTAATATAAAAAGTGTAGTTAAAAAAACTACATATAGTGAAAAATACCAGATGCTCAATAAATATTTGGTGGAATTAATAAATGAATGAATTCAATTAAATACCTATATTACCTTTACATGATCACTTCAGTTATTAGATAATAAAAATGATCAAATCAAATAAAAGAAGATACAGCAAATTTGGCATATTTTAGATAGGCAAATATTTGTTCAGTAAATGACTAAACTAATATGATATCCCAAACTACTGATTTTGAACTCTACAAGTAGAAAATGGTAAATAATTTGCTTCTGAACAACAAAAGCATGAATGAAATCTAGCATTCTAATCTAACGCATACTCTATGTGTAGATAAAATGCGTGACACATACATTCTGAGTAGTTGTCATTTCTATCAATACTTGTGTGTTTTACTGACATTTGAAGGGATGATAATCATTTATGGAATTTTTTTTAAATGCACAAATTATAAAAGGACTGGAAAATCACTGAGTTTTTAAAAAAATATTATTTTAACTCTCTCATCTTATTAACTAAGGCTCCCACTTTGGTGATGAAAAAAGATGTTAAGTAATTACATAAAACAGAAGATGATATCTGTCTTCAGAGGCTTTACAAACTACAAAGACAAGATGGCCATATCCTAAACAGAGGACAATACATGTTTTTCTATTTATATGACATACTGCATAGTATAGTATTTTGAGCATACAAGGTACTGAAATGTTTAGTAAGTTAAATTTTTTTTAAAACCTGACATGATTGCTCAGAGAAGGAAATATCCTACTGTGAGCCATGACTGACTGGAAAATAATTCTAGGTTGATGTACACCTTGAAATATCCTTGAATTTGCCCAAAGACTGATGAAGGCTTTTCAGTAAAAAAAACAGTAAGATTTGGCACTTGTGAGGGGAAAAAAGTCTGTGTGGAAGATTAGAAATAATAAAAGACGGTGGGTGGATAAAGAACCTTCAACTAAGGTAAGAAACTTGAAGACCACAGCATTTTTTTAAGGTAACAAATACAAAGCAACTTTCCCAGGTATTAAAGTTGGAGCACACATTTGTTTGTTCCTTTGATTTCTAAGTCTAAGCGCCTCTGTAAAACCCTTGCTTTTTGACCTGACAATGTTTACGAAATCATTATAGATGGAGAAGCGGAAGTTGTGCTGGTAGAGTTTTAATGTCACAGCTGTGCACTGCCCAAATTGCCTAGGGATACAGAAAAGACAATTAAGAGATGATTATAATACCTACTTCCTTCAGAGTAGGCTTTATGTTTTTTCTGTGCAAAGTTAAGCTCTTCTACCGTTGTGATCTCATGGCACCTGTTCATGTCTGTACTAAAGGGCTTAACAGAAAGCAATGATTATTTGATATGTATCTGACTCCTTATACATATTCAGCCTATGATTAAAGACTTGGCCACTCAGAAATGTTCTACATCAAATCTATGTAACAACTTTAGTCTTTTAGACAAACATAAAATGAAACAAAATATAATCCAAACTACTTGAACTGTCATTAAATTTAATAAAATTGTATTAGGAATTATATGCAAGGTGTCATGTACAATTATTCATTCCTAGTGCCTAACACATGGTAAGGGCTTTTAAATGCTAAATGAAGGAATGGATAAATCCAAATCTGTTGAGAAAAAAAACACACTATGAAGCAAGTACTGGGAATTAAGGAGTGACTTCTACATTAATTGATGATTTGCAGGCAGAAATGGATGCGTTGATGAAGTTTAATGTGTTTTAAATATAGAACACCAAACTTTCATATAATTGCATTGATAAGGCAAAATTCCATTTACACAGCTAACATTATATCAATCATATTTTCTCTGTGCCTGTATGATGCAAGTGTGAATACTTTAAATTAGAACTTTTAGAAGTTTGAGAGGCACCTTATTAAAAAGCACAAGAAGCAACACACTAACGAGAGAATACTTCAATTATATCTGTAACTACTGATCACAACCAAGAAATAAATCAAAGAAATAATAAATAAACCAACATAATACATAGTATCCGCAGGAAAAAATTTTTTTTACATGAAACCTTACCTGGATCCATTTGTCTGGAACTGCCATGGCTAATCGATAGTCAAAGCCACCCCCTCCCAGGGAAATTGGAAAACACAGAGCTGGCATTCCTTATAACACC